TCCTCTCACTGTGCAGAGTGATAATGGACCACCATTTAATTCTTCTGCATTTGCCAACTTTGCTACAGAATATCAGTTTACCACAGTAACTAGTTCACCTGAGTACCCACAATCAAATGGGAAGGTTGAGTCAGCGGTTAAAATAGCCAAGAATCTTGTTCGGAAAACCAACAAAGATCACAAAGACGTTAACAGAGCGTTACTCGCATGGAGAAACACTCCTACTGCTGGACTAGATAGCTCTCCAGCACAGCGTATGTTTGGACGTCGAACAAGAACATCTCTTCCAATTATGAGCTCCCATCTCAAACCAAACATTCCTGAGAACGTCACAGAGAACAAACAAAAGAAGCAACGAAAGCAGAAAGAATCATTTGATCGCGGTGCAAAAGAACTACCATTTCTTCAGTCAGGTGACATTGTCAGAATGAAACCGAAACCACACTGCAAAGAGTGGAAGAAAGCACGCGTCAAAGAAATGGTCAATTGCAGATCTTACAAAGTGCAAACAGAATGCGGCGCAGAGTACATCAGGAATCGACGACATCTTCGATTAAGCGCTGAGTCATTCACTCTCATCGATCATACATTTTCACGCAAATTTAAACTTCGCAAACAAACACAGAGCGAAACCCCACCCCAGAAAGATATGCCCCACGTTAAATGTACGACGAAGCCAAAAGAGACTCAAAACAACAGTGCATTAACTAGACGCAGTACCAGAGTTAAGAGAAAACCTGGTTACCTTAAGGACTATGTTTAATTTTAGACATTTTCAAAGCAATTATATTGATTTCAAGTGTTGATAGAGCATAGAAAATTAGATGCTCATGTTATGCACAGTTTTAGATTATTTTTGGAAGCAGAGTATTAAAGCATATTTATTTTGGACATTATAATGAAAAATTAAACCTTATGAGCATAGAAAGTTTAGTGCTCTCACTGTTTGATATCATTTTAGAACTTTTTAGAGTCACTAAATTCTCACATTTGGGATTTTGGAATTTAGATAACAATTGTTTTGATGTTTTGGAATATGCATATTTGATGTCTATTTCCCAGTTCTAGATTGTTCTGAAAAAAAAAAAAAAAAAAAGGAAAACAAAATACTAAAATTGTATGGAACATTTAACTCGTAAAGTACACTCAAGTCAAGTCAGTGTTAACATTGTGAAGTTTGTTTTATTCATTTTCATACAAGTATAAAGTCAATTGACTTATTGGTGAATTCATGTTATGATACACATTCTAGTACAGTATGATATCTAATTTGTTTCTTTCCAAAAAAAGGAAAGATGTTGCATGCATGATTAATGATCTCACGCCCTCTGGTAGCTCGATCCCGCATTGTATGCTGGGACGACAAGATGGCGATATGCTTTGTGCAACACGAGTTAATAAAGTGTGTTAATGGAAACTCTAATACTAAAGGCTATCCTGAGTATTGTATTACGTCTTTAACTCTAGAAGTTACAACATAAAACAATATATAAAGTGGTTCTGGTTCTGGAGCAAATACAAAATGTTCTTATAACGTTCGCGAACGTTGTGGTTAGGTATGTCACAAAATAGCGTTCACACAACGTTGTATGAACGTTCAAACATTGTGAAGTTGAGCGAGACAGTGTCAGCAGAAAGCAGCAATAATCTTTAGACAGAATATTTCAGCAAATTATTACATGTAAAGGCAGAGGAGATAATAGCAGAGTGAACTCAAGAGGACAAAACAGCAATTGAGGAGAAGGATGTAGAATATGAACTATTCCAAAATTCATTTTATGTGTACAGAAACGATCGTTCTAGACACGATGGCGCTGTTTTAATAGCAATCAAGAACTCTTTTAAACCAACTGTTATAAACTTTCGTCCTAATCATCATCATCATCATCTGTTCGCTTGGACGTCGTTTGTAGACTTAACGTTTACACCCTTTATTATCAGATTCAGATTATTGTTTGTATCCATGTGGTTTTTCGTCTTCCTCTGTGACGTTTTACTTTTCGGTTGGTATTCATAAAATACTTTGACAGTTTGACAGTTGTATCTTCTGGCAATCGTAGTGACCTTTGTCTACCATTTCTCGTCACCGGATTTTTAATATAGTTCAATGTTCGTTATTCTAAATGGCCAATGAATATTTAAAGCTCGTCTTAGTCAACTTATAAACAATCTATTTTATTTTTGAACAATTTTTCTAGCGACCACCAATTCACTATTATAGAGGAACATGCTGGTTATGTATGCATTAAGCCACCTCATACGCGTGTTAAGGTTTATTTTATTGCTTTGCATTTTCTTATATTGATTGAATACTACTATGGTTAGCTGTTTACTTCTATTTATGTCTTCTTTTGTATCAAGTATCGATCTGAGATATTTACATTTCTACCAGTCTTCATTTCCGTCTTTCTTAATTGTGTTTTCCTGTATTATTTTCATTTAGTTTTTCCGGTACTTGTTCTTTCATCTTTTCTAATTTATGTCTTGAATTTCTTATCCAACCTACGTCGTCACCATACTGCTGTCATGAAGCTACGTGCTTCTGGCATTACATAATGATCTACCAGGGAGTTTCCTGTTATATCGCCTTCTTAAGGGCTCTCGCTAGGTATGAAGTAAGTGCTAACACAATCTCTCTGGGGCATGCCGTACTAATATTGAGACTAAATTATAGAGTTTGTTGTAAATAGTAATTTTAAAGTGGCATTATGTGTTATTTATAGACCACCGAGTTCTGGTGATGAATGGCTTAATCAATTCCAGGATGTTATTGAATTTCTTGGCTTTTCCCAGCAGTAGTTTCCACCCGGCACCTTGGTCACTTCCATGCTTGGAACTTTTCCATGCTTTGTCAAAGCATAGACCCTATATCAAGGATGTGCCTCCTAATATTTAGTGTCAATCTAGGGTGGGGTGTGCATGTGAGGACCAATTAAAGTGATTTAAGGGCACACAGTCTACAACAGATATTTCAAAAAAGGGTTAATTGATCTGATAGAACTTTCGGGAAATTTTAACAAGATTACAAGGGAAAAAATTAAATGAACGCGGAGGATCGAGTTTAGGACGTAAATTCGATGGTCATTTAAATTTTTGAGGTCTCAGACCTAAATATCTTTTAAACAAATCAATGGGTATAATTAAAACATTGTATAACAATTTGTCAAGGTCTGGTAAATAAATGATTACATATTTATGACAATCAGGGTGTGGATATGAGGACCATTTAAAGAAAAACGTCCCAGACAAGATATTTTAAAAACTGATCGACTGATCTGAATGAAAAATTGGGGAAAGTTTAACCAAGTTACAAGGAATTATTATGTACTGGGGACGATCAAGTTTACGATGTAAATGTGGCGGTCATTTAAATTTTTGAGTTCCCAGACCTAAATATCTGTTTAAAGAAATCAATGGGTATAAATCATAAATGAGACTTTCTATGATAGTTAGGTCTGGTAAAGAAAGCAGGGGTGGCACCAGCGGGGGGCCGGGGGCAGTTGAAGTTTTCAATAGGTATAAATGAAACTTTCTGATGATACAGTGATTTATAGACCAGTATATATATAGTCATCGCGATGCCCTTGACTTACAGGAAGACCTCCATAGTATCTCCAAATGGTGTGATGAAGTTAAATGCAAACAAGTGTAAAATCATTCATTTTAGTAATGTATCTATGAAATCAATAAAAAAAATTAAGGTTTACCAAACGCTTTGTTGGTTTTAAGATAGCTATTAACATGTCATTAAGATGTATTACTATTATGTGTTGAAGGTTATTTTGCTGACAGGCTAAGAATCCTTAACATACTTGATATGGTTTAAAGACTGAAATTCCAAAGCATTATTTTTGTTGAATTGCTTACATAATTTAAGTGACCTTTAATGCCCGATATCCTGAAACACTCACTTTTAAACACAAGTATGGTAGAATTAATGTATTTAAATATTCCTTATTTGTGAACTTTCCACCTATTCCTCGTGATGTTCGTAATAATTTTGGAGGGTTTACAATAGCTCTAGAACTTAATAGCATTGAATTTTAAGATATTTCTTTAAATATTGTACTTTTGTATCTTTTATTATTATTATTATTATTATTATTATTATTATTATTATTATTATTATTATTATTATTATTCATCATACGATCTCTAGTGGAAAAGTCATGGAAGTTCAACAAACCAGCTTATTTTATATTCAATGATCTAAGAAAACCTAGACAATTGCTGTGGAAATGCATGAAAGTAGAGTATGATATCACTGGCCACTTAGAAGCATGTTTAACACGTGCCTCCGCAAAGTTAAAACAGGGTTCTAAAACAAACATTTCACCTATACTGTTTATTACATATAGGATAGTGTCATAAAAAAAACTTATCACATCATGGTCTATGCAAATGACATTTCATATGTCACGGACAAAAGAGAAGAACTGGAAGGAGCAATACATAAATGGAATGAATGTTTTAGAATGTCAGGCATGAAGCTAAATGCCTCAAAGACCGAAGAGATGACTTGGCCATCCAGGTGGATAAGGAAAGGACGACAAAAGATTCTATAGATTGAGACATGGTGGCAAACGTCCCAGGGGAAGATCTGGAAAAAGATGGATGGGTATGTCAACGACATTTTACTTAAAAACACCAGAGTTAATATAACAGAACTTAGAAGAAGTGGAGAGATGCTCAACAGAACAAAATGGAGAAGAAGGCTAGCAGTAAGAAAAGGCTAAGAAGTAAGTATTATTTATATAATAGCGTTTTTAAGTCTGCTAAAATGTGTGTCACAGTTTGTTCGTTAATTTAGTCCTACCTGTCATTGTTTTGAATATTTTTTCCAAATTGTCCATTTTGTGAACACAAATGTGTGTTCTGATTCGGGTCGTCTGCATTGTGGTTCAAATCACAATCAATTTCCCCAGAATCTACTATATTGTCACCTATCAAACACAATATGCATACTGTTAGAAATCCATTTTATGAAGTTAAAAGTAGGGAAGAATTTCAAAATAAAAATATAATGTTTTATTGTCGCATATTCTATATGGTCTGGTCCATTGGCACCTACCACGTTACCACAAGCTCGTTGCCACACTGGCTTTTGCCACCGGATCTTTTAAAACCCGTCTTTTTGCTATCCTAGGAACGTTGTCACCCGGTCTTTTCCTACCCGTTCTTCCACCATCAAGGAGGGCCGTTGCGACCTGGCTTTTTTCCAACAGTATTTTGGGTAATTGCTTCGAGAGAGACGTGGCTTCTTATGTTGACGTCATGCATAATTTCAGCTGTAGTACGTCAACATTCATAATCTCCTTAACAAAATATAGGCCTGGTAATCACACGGCATAGCAAAATACAGTACCGTACAAGCAATGTCCCTGTGATTTCTGTTTCGAGAATTAGGATTTCTGGAATATTATCATTTTAAACGATAGTTGTTTAATTAAACACAGAGTGAAGTAATACACAAGAATCAGTCTTATTTTAGAGGCAGGGATTAGGACGGAATCACAGAATGAAATTAAAACAATCAATGGTCTAATACTACTACTATTAGCAGCTTCTTGTTTTAAAACTGATTAAACCAAGCCCAACACACAATAAACTCAATTGAATAGACAGATTTGAGGCTTGTCAAATTCAGACTACACTCTTGCGATCGGTTGCGATGTAATCGTGGTAATCCAAAAAGATTACTCTCGATCGCAATCAACGAACGTATTCAGACCAACACAAACAAACTTTCTAGGGCCTAGGCCTCCGGTGGCTAGGCCGATGTTGCCTGACCTAAGCCAAAGAGTGCCTGTGGAATTCGTGGTGATCGTGAGTAATAAAGATTGTAGCTAGCACCCAATCGCAACGGGTAACAATTGCGATATCGATTACATATCGACTACTATTGGTGAGCTTTCACACACGATTTTACTTTGCGATTGGGTGCGATTGGGTGTCGCAATTGCTACAACCAATCGCAATGCGATGCTAGTCTGAATGGGGTATTAAACTCTCTGACTGAGTGGAAGTTTTTAATGTAAGGAAGCAGGATATTCCATAGTCTATCCGTTGCAGTTGGGAAAGAGTCGTCGCCGATGCGCTTACGGAACATGGTCTGACAAGATGTAACGGTTGAGGCCGTTCCAGTTGATCGCAAATGTGTACGTTTATTGATGAATGTAGATAAGTACTCTGGACATAGTATGGCTCTACCTAGGTCGATTTATATTTAATCTAACGCCACTGGGCCTAGGTCTTACACAGGTCATCATGCGCCGTCACAGGTGTGTAACCAGCACCACAAAACTAAGTGTCAATCTGCTTGCTAAGGTCACACGTGTGTATGTTACGGTAGATGCGTTATAATTATGCATGACGTCACCATACAAGCCACGCCTCCCTCGGCTAAAGTTGTTGTATTTAGCATGGAACTACCGGTCTCTTGCCATCTACGAGATGTGTGGCTTTTAAACGGTACATTCAATTCAATAATTATCTATTTCTTTAATTCCTTTGAATACAAACAAATGTCTGGAATATGATAAGTTTGAGTACATTCCATGGGTATATTTGGGTGAAAAGTGCTGGCTACCAACGCAGTTACAGTGAGAAAATCGTTCATTATTATATGCGAATGTCGACACTTTTTCTAAATGGCAAATATATTATGTTTAATATGGATCCTACCTCAGTAATAACAAGTTCCCGTAATCTCGAAAGCTCCGATGAGGGTAGTATAATAAAGGCAGTAGGGTATAATAGGCCCTAACGCCCGCCTATACAAAAACAATCCGCTGAGCGTTTCTAGAGCTCCTCATCGGAGCTAAAAGTATGTGAAAGGACTAAACAAGTTACGATAGTTACGTTATGGCATACCGTAATATAGACAATCAATATCAATACAACCAATATTCAAAGTATTCATTTGATCATTAATTGCTTAGGTTCGATTTATGCAGTCCGGAATTGGAAACGCAGACATTTTTAAGACTCAAATATCTATAGGGATTTGTAGATAACTATCTGCTCAAATTAATAAATATGTAATAATTGAAACTTGTAATTTCAGTAATTACCTCTAATGATGTCCCAAGTGACGACAGCTGATATCACACCTACTTTAAATTCGTTGACATAATAAGGAAATGGGTAATCAGTCGCCTCAAATCGAGTCTGCCAATTAACTGAAAACCTGTTTTCCATTACGGATGAGTAAACAGGTGGCTCGTATTGTTGCTGACAAGGAATATCTCTCGCAGAGATCCCATCATATTTACTGTTTTGTTGCACCAATATTGAGCAGTGAGATACCGTTGGTGGCACAGCAACTATAAATATAATGATCATTAAATCATTAGGATATTTTATAAGGGGTGGTGCCGGTCTCTCTCCCCACCACCTCAGGGAAAAATACAGTTAGTTCGTCGTTGGGAAGAAGACAACAACCCAACGACGAACTAACTGTCGTTGGGAAGAAGACAACATTATGTATTTTTTGAATAAAAATGTTTCCATGGGCCTCTATCCATGGACCAGCTCTCTTATACACATCTATAGTGTCATAAAAAAAACTTATCACATCATGGTCTATGCAAATGACATTTCATATGTCACGGACAAAAGAGAAGAACTGGAAGGAGCAATACATAAATGGAATGAATGTTTTAGAATGTCAGGCATGAAGCTAAATGCCTCAAAGACCGAAGAGATGACTTGGCCATCCAGGTGGATAAGGAAAGGACGACAAAAGATTCTATAGATTGAGACATGGTGGCAAACGTCCCAGGGGAAGATCTGTGTGTGTGTGCGTGATTAAATAAAATAATCCAATTACAAGTTTCACATGTACTTCCATGAAAACCCTCATAACAATTACACCGATTTGGAGCTACGCAGGTTCCGTGGACACATCGGGGTGGACATAAAGCTGTAATAATAAAGCAATCAAAATTGATTTAGTAAACGTATTTTACACATGGCCGTTCCAAAGCAAAACGACGACGTTTGATTTGTAAGCTGTATATCTAAACGCCTTCCTTAATTGTCATGTCGTGTGCACAAAAGTTCTCAATAAAACCAGTATTTAACTTACGGACATTGCAATCATTGCTTCCAGGGGACGCTTGTGCCCAACCGAGGCAACACATATATACTCTTCTGTATCTTGCTCGGTATCTTGTGGCACCTCTATATTTTGTGCTATATTTTGGAAGTATAGAAACAAAAAGCAAAAATTAGGCAAAAGTGTAGAAACACCTTCTTCAACCGTAATGGCTACTAGCTTGTAATTACTAACCATCTACTGAATAAGCCAAAAAAAAAAAATTAAATAAATATAGGTTAATAGTATATAACTAAAACTTTACTTGCACCATTTATACATCCTTTTCATAATGATATGACCAATGAGGTTTGCTATCAATATAAAGTTTTTTTCGTAAAGTGTAAATCAGTGATATTCAAGTTGTTTATCCTTATTAAATTTAAGATTAATTTAAGGATACTGTACAGTATACCGTTATGTTAAAATAAATGAATACATTTGTATTTTGGAGTCATTTATATTCACCTTCTTCTAATTAGCGATTTAAAGCAGTAAATTCTATTGCATATAACAATTTTTATAAAAATCATGATGATAGTCAATAAAATGGAGTCACTAATGCAGTTACATAAATATATATTTTTAATCAATATAATTAATATTTTATATTAATATAACAGCAATATAATATATTATTTCTAAATGTAGTAAACAACTACACATTCTGTATAGGCTTAGAGGGTTTGGTATCACATATCTGTCAACGTTAGACATATCAGGCCAGCTTTAGAGAACGAAGTTCCGGTATGGCATGCAGGGTATATCGGTATCCCAAAATTCCCAAATTTAACGAATCCTTAAAAGAGCTTTAATCATTATTATTGTTAAAGCATATGAAAGTTATAGCAATGACTTTCAGATCGTTGGTATTATGTTTGCAAAAAAAAAAAAATCTCGAAATCGTACTAAACTGTTAATACATAACTACGAAACTTCCATTTAAAAGAAATTGAAAACTATATGTCCATAAGCAATTATATAGTTATTACTTACCGGTAGTGAGTACACCTATCCCAACCGAACAACCCACATGCTTTTGTGTACGATGACTTGTAGGAACTGCTACCGACGTACGATTCTGTTGAACTTCTTAAAGATGAGCAAACGTTCCGTCTAGATAAAATTAAAACCCTATTCAGCATTAGTGTCTAACTACTTAAGTTATCACATCAGTACTGTAATTTATTGTATATATATCATATACTTTTCGTGTGAGAGGATGAGTCTTACTCCTCTAATAATCTTGTCGTTCCATAGATCTACTGGGAAAAAATGTTCAAGCTTTTTTGGAGTCAATCGATGCGCACGTGTGTCATCTTTAACATGGCAAAAACTCCTCTTCAATCCTCCACTTATAGTCACATTTCAATGATTTCTCCTAGTCCTAGGTTTATTACCACTATAAGCATAGACCCATATATTTTGTCGTAATTGAGAAAAGATTGAAGGCCCGTAACCAGGAATCAATATGAGGTATTTAGGAGAGGCAGGAGCAACATGTGCCTATCGTGGTGTTCGGGGAAATGGGTACGATGGGGGAGGGGAGAGGGAAGTTTATGTATCCTAACATGTTGATGGTATTTAATACAAGTTGGTTTAGATAGTCAGAGGGATTTGCTTAAAAAAGCGGTTCGCAGCAGTGGTGTCAAGGGTGGGGGGGGGTGGCTATGGAAAATGCTGGCCCTCCTGTCAGGGAGCACAATTTTTCTGGGGAAAAACGTTATGTTCGCCACTAAAATTATTAAATAAGCCCTTTGAATCTCTAATTTGTGTGTGTGTCTGTGGTTGGGGGGGGGGAGTGGTGGGTATTCATCCTTTAGACCTTTCAGGGGTTCTTGGTCGCCCTTGGCTCCGCTCACTTTGCTTTTGCCAATTACATCACCCCCTTTCTCGTCGGGGACATCAGCACCAACTTTTTCCACCCGCCCCTTTTTATCATTTTTAAAAAAGAAGGGCAAACAAACAATTTATTTTTTAGGTATTCCAGCTTAACTGAAAATGAGGGTTGAAGAGTAATTTTCATCAATGCTAAAGAGGACAGTCATGCGCATTGATTGATACAATAAAAAAAAAAAAAAAAAAAAAAAAAAAAACCCGATATTTTGACAGTTAGTTGGTTCTTTATTCTACGATCATACTGCCCGTATTTTACTAGTTTTGGTCCTAAAAATATAAGATTGGGGGTCATGCTGTGACCATTAAGTTACAGCGCTATAATCTGCCTTGTTTTTTGTTTTTTTGTTTTTTGTTTTTTTAATAATTGAAGTACAATATCGTAAAACAAACACACCCATTTGCATTCAAAGTATAGACTGGTTTTAAAATCAGAAGTATACCGACGAATACAACCAGAACTAGATGATGCAGTGCCATTTTCTTTTCCAGGAAGAACTCCACCACGGTGTTATCTGTTGTTGAAATAATATAATATTATATGTGTAATATATAACTATATCAACTAACTACAATTTTATTGTACAGTAGAATCTCCAAATTACGAACCTCCCAATTACAAACTCTCGATTTTTACGCACTCGATTTGCGACGATGATATAATCTTTAAAGATGCTACATAATAATTATACATAGGGACAGGGTAAAATAAGAAACAAAACGGTTTAATCTGTCTCAATACGGGTAGAACGGGATCGAAGTTTAAACATGGTCAGCGTTCTGGACCACCATTCCCGTCCTTGCCCGATACCGTTCGTACTAAGATTGTATTCAGTGTCTACTACGTCCATTCTGTTCATATTCCGGTCTCCGTTCCACCTCGTTCTCCAGAACGTAGTGCAAACTAGTTCAGTGTGAAGGTGGTAGGCTTATTAAGATTTACAAAAATCCCCTCTGATTATTACCTAAGATTTAAAAGATACATTCATACAATTAGGTGAAAGAGTTCCAAGTTTGAAAATAATTCGTTCCTCTAACTTCTCACGAGACATTTCTGAAGTGTTAAAAATCGTAAACCGGTGATTATATCAGAAAATGTAGTGTTATCAGAGAAATGTGCAGCAACAGGGAGACCTAGTGTTTTGAGTTTTACAAAACGTAAATTTTCCACAAATCTATTTCCCAATCTACGTTTGGTTTCACTAATATATAAAATGTTACATTTTGTACAATTTATACAATAAATAGGATTCCTGGTAATACAATTTATATGGTCTTTAACATTAAAGTTTCTAGAGGGTCCAGTAATGCAATCAGTATATAATGTTTAAAAGTGGTGCATCTATTTCTACCATTCACACACACAATTTAAACAAATAGATACATAATAATATTACAGTGATCAAATAGAAACATGATAGCCCTTCGACGAGTTGCCTTTTCAGTTATATGGAATATAAAATGTCTTTTTATCTTAATTAAGAGTATGTTTTAAAACATTGAAAGCAATGTGGTGAACTACCACATCTTGGTCTAAATACAGTTTCATCTTTTTAAAGGTTTTTATCATTATTTTTAGTTATTTTATTATTATTTTTTAAATTTTGGCCACTGATTCAGTTTCCCCGGGTTTTGCATTCTGACTGGGTGAAATTATCAGGACGAGTGGGGGTTAAAAAATGAACTGATATTTTTTTTGGCGGGGTTGCGTCAGTGGAGCCATTAATCATATAATGTTTAATGTTTAATCATATAATGTTTAAGGTCCAGGTGCCGAGGCTAATTTTAAACAGTTCTGAGACGTTATACACGATGTTGTGGACGATGTTGACTGCCTTACATCACGGTAGGAAATAATCCTTCTTCCACTGCTGGTGTCGTTTCTGACTGAGTACTCTTGGCGCCTTCCTTGCCCCCAAATTCTATTTATGTTCCCATTTGCTTGAATTGAACTCAATAATCTACACACAACCGTAATTTTAGACATGAAATTTCTACCAAAATATAGTTTTAATACCCATCAGTTTCTGAAAAAAAATAATTTGTAAATCAGTCTACATGTATTAAAGCAAACCATAAATGTATACATAACCTAAAAGTAGGAGTTACCTTCTGTGTCTAACATTATTTTTTATAATGAAGTCGGCTGGGTTTTTGTTTTTATCTCTCTTATATTAATTTTAAATCGATTTATATAGCTTTTTAAAAGCTAAAAACATTTAAAACGTTGTTTTGTTTTTTTTGTTTTTTTTTTTTTTTAATTATTTATTTATTTTTTTTTACTCAAGTTGGACCAGATGAATGTTGGCATGACATCGTGAAATAGGAGGCATACATTATTCAGGGGCAGAATTACTCAAACGTGGGTGGGGGGCTTCATTATATTATCAGTAAAGATAAGTAGGGCATGCTGGCAGCAGTAGCATACCGAGTAGCCCAAATTAGATATTTTGAATTTGTATTCTACTTTTTTCTTATTTTAATACATGGCATTGGTATGCTTAGAAATTAAAAATATAATGGCAAAAAAAAGAAGGTAAGTCTCCGCCCAACATTGGATAACCCCCCCCCCACCCACACACACACACGCACACTATTATTAGCTATGTGTTTCAGCCACCGCTCAAGGCAACTCGACTCTGAGATTACTTTGATTCCTATACGTATAGGGGGTGTTTTTATTAAATTTGTACACGATCCAACCGCGCGTCATTCTTCCATGTGTGGTCATGTAAATAAGATTAATGTTTTTTTAAGAAAATATTTGAACCTTTTGAAGCACAATAAACATTTTATATCAATTGTTTTTTGTTTTATTTTATTTACTTTTTATTTATTTTATCATTCACACTAAACAATATACAAAACATTATGGGTAATGAAGAGAGAAAAGCCCCTTTCCTAAAGAGTCCAAAGTGCCACCCCTGCTTTACTTACGAAATTTTAGAAATGTTTAAGACCCCATTGAAGTTTACTACATAATGCCGTCTTTCTACACGTAAATAGCGCTTGAATTGTAATGATACAAGCGCTGTGTGGGAGGGGCAGTTTCGCAAACATTGTTGACATAAACCCTGATTACATATTATATCTGCTTCACTAAAACCTGATTAGATAAAATAGTGTTCAATTGCTGTCACTACTTTGTACTTTTCTTCACACCAGGACTTCATGAAAAAAAATTTTTATTGGTTGAAATCTATTTTATAAATGCCCTTCCTCCAGGTTACCTACTCTACCATATTTGGTGCTTTCTACAATGTACTAAATTTTTCTTTCCTTTTTTGGAAAATATTTATAAAGCAATTAAAAAATACGTTTTTCGTATTGGATATTGGTGATGAGTTTAAAAGACGACTTTTAGGCTGAATCAAAGTATTGTTGTGTTGCCCTTAGATTTAAAAAAAAAGGAAAAACGTAGGACGGGTTGACGGTTTTTGTTTTTGTTTTTTGTTTTTTGCGCTTTTAAAAAAAATCACAATATCTAATATATTAACCTCTTAATGTTTATTTATGTATTTACTTTATTTAAAACCTTATTTAAGGAGGGTAGTCAATTTTTTTTTGTAATTTTTGCGTTAAAGAATAATAATAAAATTAAAATTAAATTGGTGATGAGTTTAAAACACGATTTTTAGGCTGAATCAAAGTATTGTTGTGTTGTCCTTAAGTTACAAATATTAAATAAGTGAGACGGGTTGTCAGTCGTTTTGATTTTTTTTTTGTTAAAATCATGAGATCTAATATAATTATTAACCTCTTACTGTTTATTTATGTGTTTACGTTACCTAAAATCATATTTAAGGAGGCTAGTCAATCTCGTTATTTGTAACTTTGCGTTAAAATAATAACAATAATAAAATTAAGTTAAATTGCTGATGAAAAATCTGTTAAATTTCGATTAAAAAAAAGCCTACTAAAACTAGAGTGGTCAATTTAGAGAGAGCTTTCTGAAGAAATTGTCACCATTTGGTACGCTAGACGTGGGAAATCATGTCGTGATATGGGACACATTCCTATCATATTGTAGACAATCTCCGCTTAAGACAATTATACTATCGTTTACTCTTATTAATTTAGCCCCTTTGTAAAAGATATAAATTAGTATCAGAGAACAGTGAAATAAGGGGCATGTCCCTTGCTGTATTTGGATCTACAAGGTCGTTGTGGTATAGTGTGAGTAAAGTAGTAGTCACTGGTACAAAATTTAAAAGTGTACAGTTGAACAACCTTTAAAATGTCAAACAAAATCGTACATTCCAATGGTTCCTTGACCAGATGCGTATCCTATGTCCTCAAAGGCAATGCGTTGTACCCTAGAATAAATAGAGGTATTTACATTACCACATGGCTGCATAAACTTTTGAAATTCAAACAATACGAAGCTGTTACCGTGGCGCCCTGTTGTGAGGATCGGGAATGGTAAAAATTGTGACAAACTAAAATTAGGGATGAGTTGGTTTTAAATGTTTCTTGTTTTAAGGAGAAACTGAAGCTTTTTTTTAATTCTTCTCTTGAAGTTTTTTTTAAATTTGAAAATGTTATATATGTTATTGGTTTTGTCTGCTAAGCACATTTGGAGAGCTTCTCGATACGCTTTGGATTTTTAGGCGATCCGCCATGGAGGTGCTTCTTGGTGAATTGTTATGTTTTATCTTAACATGTATGTATGCTTGTTATTTTATTTCTAGTTGCTTGTTTGCCTGATAATAAAATCTAATTAAAAAAAATGTAGATTTTAATGGTGTTTGAAATTGGTGTACGGTATGTATTTAAAATCATATTTGTAGTGCATTACTTCAAACCCTGACATCAATACGTACAATACTTTACAGATACCATAAGACAATGACTAAACACTGTTTAATATTAAACAAAAACACAACACAATTTCGTAGATAATAGGACAGCTATTACAAAACCTATACCCTAAATCATACTATTTGTTGTAGTTTAGCAGATCTAACATATGTATGGAAGCTAAAAAAAATTGTGACAAAAGTATAAATAAAACATCGTACATGGAGTAAAGCAGATCTGAACTGTTTTCATTAACACATATTTTAAACAATCACACAAAATAAAAAAAAAAAACCCTTTTTTTAAAAGGTCAAACAATAACATACATGCAAGAATTTCAGTTGTTTATAAAAAAAAATTTTCTGAAATACCAAATATGTTATGGTATAGTATGTAGGCCTAATATCTGCGTAAATCATCTTTTCAATTTATGTAGCTACCAATATTTTAAAATATAAAGGTGAAATGACTGTCACGATAATTGAATACTATTGTAATTCATCGTGCTTTTAGTGAAGCAAAGCAAATAAGTTTCATGTAACAAAACTGTAAACTGCTTCCCCGACGATACAGAATAGCCTAAACAATACAAATGAAGATGATTTGAGATACTAAACAAAAACGTGCGTGTATTAATTTCAATGGTCGTATATAGAATGAGCAGTAGGGTTTTAAACGCTTTTTTATGTAGTACATTGTACCCTGACATCAGGAG